TGGGGCGCCTTTAATCGATAATGTGTTTCGTTTTCCGCAGGATGGGGAGGGACGCGCGGCAGAGCCACCGGGAACTGGCGCTCGGGTGAAGTAGGAGCCGCCGGCCGGCTGCCTGCACCGAGCGGTTCGGCGCCGCGGCCGCTCAGCCTCTGCCATGGCCGGGTCCGGCGCGTGGAAGCGCCTCAAATCTCTTCTGAGGAAGGATGATGCGCCGCTGTTTTTAAATGACACCAGCGCCTTTGACTTCTCTGACGAGGTGGGGGACGAGGGTCTTTCTCGGTTTAACAAACTTCGAGTTGTAGTGGCCGATGATGGTGCTGAAACCCCGGAAAGGCCTGTTAACGGGGCGCACCCGGCCCTCCAGGCCGACGATGATTCCTTGCTGGACCAGGACTTACCTTTGACCAACAGTCAGCTGAGTTTGAAGGTGGACCCCTGTGACAACTGCAGCAAACAGAGAGAGTTGCTGAAGCAGAGAAAGGTGAAAACCAGATTGACCATTGCTGCCGTTCTTTACTTGCTTTTCATGATTGGAGAACTCGTAGGTGAGTTGTGTTGCCAACTCACTTTCCATTTACCTTGCCTGGAGGGTCTTTGTCACTTGATTTGGGGTTTAAACTTTCTTTTCAGGACTCGTTATTTAGCAAGGTACTGATCTGGTGATGTAAAAGGCCACACGGTTCCAAAGTGCAGATCAACCTAGGTACAACATAAACTTCCAGAGATAACTTTGACTTTTTGATCTAGCGCTCCAAACACTGTGTCATCTCCTATAAAACTAGGGACATTATCTTCATTGTATATCATGTAACATCCTCTTTAAAAAATAAATCTGATAAAAGACCAAGTTAATTTTTGCAAAGTTTAAAATAGTAAGTGATTCTAAAATTGCAGAATCATGAAATTTTACAGTGTAAACCTTACTGAACACCTGCTCCACCTTTTTTTCCCCTACACACAAGAAATCCAAGGGCCCAAAGGTTAAATAAGTTGTGAGGACTTATTAGGTGGGTAGATGAAGAGTCCCACGGTCTTTATTTTCTTCCTCTACATTTGACTTAAGTGGTCTTACTATTTCCTTTTGTATTTATAACCAAGAGATTTGCAAAATTAAATGCTACCAGCTAACCTCAACGTTTTTCATTGTAAGGATTTGAAAGCCAGAGGGCTCCCCCAGGTTTCATGAACTTGGTTTTATTTTTCATTTTTTAAATTATTCAAGTTAATACATTCTTACCATAAAATACATTCATAATTTAGAGATTAATTTCACAGCCACATTAGTGTAACCGCTAACTTCTCTTCGTGACAATTTACAAGGTGACATTAAAGCAGGGAGATTATTCTCCAGTGTTGTCTCTTAATGATGAACCATGGTGAGAACAGAGGTGACAGTCCAGATTTAAGATGCTGTCTGGAGGTTATGTACAGGAAAATCATATACATTTCCTACTTCATTACGTACCACTCCTCCCCAGTGATCACTTCAGCCATGCTGGCCGCCTTTCTCCCTGTGACTCACAAAGCTCTCTTTCTGCTCATAAAGCCTTCATACTGGTCCCTGTATCTCAGTGGCTTTCAAACTTTTTTGACCTCACTATAGTAAGAAATACACAACATTATGACCCATGTAAACATGCATATACCTATGTATGTGTGTACATCCACCTACAGATAGGTCTAAATATAACTGAAACAAAAGTTTCATTTCATGGGATGTGTTCTACTGTTTTTTTACAATTATGGTCTCAGCCCACTTAATTGATTTCATGGTTCACAAGCCTTCAGTTTGAAAAACTGCTTTACATAAACTGCCTTTTCCCAAATCTTCTCTTGGCTGATTTCTTGTCATTCATGTCTCATCTCAAAAGATACCTCTTAGAGACCTTTCTGACTGCCTAAAGTTAACCTTTCTTCTCCCGTGTTCTCTCCCCAACTTTAAAAGCCTTCAGCTTCTGAGATGATCTTCTTTGCATATTTGTTTAATATCAACTTCCACTGAAATATAAGCTGAATTACCAGCACCTAGCACAATGACTAGCACAGAGTTAAACACTTAAAAATTTTTTGTTTGATTTGTTGTTGTTAGAGAATTATAAATGCTTAAGCTGCCTAACTACCTCCTCCCCCCTCAAAAAGAAAAATAAGAAAAAAAAATGCTTAAGCTATAAAGAAATGAAAGACAGGAGTGAAGCTGTGACCAGATAAGGCATGGTCTCAGCAGACTAAGATTCAATGATTTGCCCAAATTCACACAGCTGGAATATTGACTCTTTTGACTTAGTGATTCTTGGAGTTAATATTTAATATTTGAAGTTAAAATCATATTAATTAAAATTTCCCCCTTAAAATTAATCTAGAGTTTACACCTATAAAATTACTAAGATATAACTGTCCTGACTTAAGATTTTTGAAATCTCCTGTTTGGTAAATGATGTTTTGTGAAAGCTACAATAAGTATTTCCTTTTGAACACTAACTTCATTTTCAGATATGAAAATCTTTTGTTAAACAATATAGAGATGTTGGTACTTAGGACAGGCATTAACAATATTATTCAGAATGTTACACTGAGTTAAATTACAATATTTGTTAAAGTGTGTCAAAAGTTCTTAGAAATAAAGCATCTTATGTAGGAAGTATGGAGTAATTTTTTTAAATGAAGTAATTTAAAAATCTGAAAGAGGAGGCTTGATTTTGAATCTTGGGTTTGCTCAAAGACCATAGGCAAGGTCTATTCTTCTTTCCATTCAGCAGTATTTTTCGAATGCTTAACATATGCCAGGCACTGTGCAGTGGTGCTCTGGATATACAGTGGATAAAAAATTATTATGATCCCTACTATCTAAAACATTTAATCTAATGTTTGAAGGATATTATGTCCTTCTGTAATGAAGGACACAAATGTTAAACAAACACGCAAGTAAATTTAAAATGCAAATGGTCTTAAGTGCTGTGAAAAAAAAGAACAAGATACTATATAGGACATAGTAACCAGTAGGATATGGTTTATGTATGAGCCAGGTACAGTTGAACCAAAAAATGATTAGTAGGAGTTACTCAAGCAAAGGGAATGGAGAAGTTTTCCAAGCAAAGAGAAAGGAAGTTCAAAAGTACTAAAACCTTCAAGTCTTTAAAAGGACCTAAAAAGAAATCCAGTTTGGCCAGAAAATAGCAAGCAGGAGGGCAGGAGACAAGGGGACCAGATCAGGGAAGTCCTTATAGACCATATTAAATGAGTCTAGTCTTTTAATTCTAAGTACAACTGGGAAGCCAGTGAAGGCTTTCAAGTGGAGATTGACATGATAGGATTTATCTTTTTAAAAGATTACTCTGACTCTTATATGCAGAATGGATTGGAGGGTACGGGAATGGAAGCAAGCAGATTTTTGTAGAAGTCCAGACGAGAAATGATTATGACTTGAACTAGAATGGTTGGAGAAAAATGTATTCAATGAGAAACATTATAGAGATAACAGTGACAAAATTGGCTAATCGTTTGGAGGTGAGAGTTGGTAGGAGAAAAGTATCAGGAATGATTCTGAAATTTCTCACCTAAGCAGCTGAGCGTATGGAAATGTATGTCATTTATGAGGCAGGGAGAAAATACAGAGCAGGATTTTGGGGGGTGTATTTTTTTTAATTGAAGTATAGTTGGTTTACAATGTTGTGTTAGTTTCAGGTGTACCCAAGTGATTCAGTTATACATATACACACATATTCTTTTTCAGATTCTTTTCCATTATAGGTTATTATAAGATATTGAATATAGTTCCCTGTGCCATACAGTAGGTCCTTGTTGTTTATCTATTTTATATATAGTAGTGTGCATAAATTAACCCCAAACTTCTAATTTATCCCTCCCCCCCGCCTTGCCCCTTTGGTAACCATAGTTTGCCCTCTATTTCTGTGAGTCTATTTCTGGTTTGTAAATATTTTCATTTGTATCATTTTTTTTTGGTTCCACATATAAGTGATATCATATGATGTTTGTCCTTCTCTAATTTACTTCACTTAATATTATAATCTCTAGGCCTATTCATGTTGCTGCAAATGGCATTATTTTATTCTTTTTTATGGCTGAGTAATGTTTTTTATGGTTGAGGTATATATATATATACCACATCTTCTTTATCCAGTCATCTATCAATGCACATTTAGATTGCTTCCATTTCTTGGCTATTTTAAATAGTGCTTTTGTAAACATTGGGGTACATGTACCTTTAACAGTTATAGTTTTATCCAGATATATACCCAGGAGTGGGATTGCTGGATCATATGATAACTTATTTTTAGTTTTTTAAGGAACCTCCTTATTCTCCATAGTGGCTGAACCAATTTACATTCTCACCAACAGT